TAACTTAAAGCAAAAGGAAGGTGAAAAATCTAAAACTGGAGAATTGAATGCCAGAAAAAGGTGGTTTGATAATTGTAGAAAGAAGCTTGGTTTAAAAAATGTCAAGATAAAAAGAGAACCATCTTCTGCCAACCAAGAGGCTGCGGGGGAGTTCCCAGGTGCCATTAAGAAAATCATTGAGGAGAAAGGTTATCTGTTTGAATGAGTTTTTAATGCTGATGAAAATGCCCTATTCTGAGAAAAAACCAAAAATGCCACAGAAGACATTTATTAGGAAGAGAACTGCACATCTGGAATTGAGACAGGAAAGCATAGACTAACTATTTTGTGATAATGCAGTCATGTTTATAATCGGGACTGTCCTTATCTATAATGCTGCTAACCCCTAAGCCTTGGAGGGAAAAGATAAATAGCAGCTGCCAATTTTTTCATTGTACAACAAGATGACCTAGACAGTGGTAACCCTTTTTTCTGGATTAGTGTAATTGATGCTTTGTTCCTAAAGTCAGGAAGTACCTGGTCAGTAAGATACTGCCTTTCAAAGTTTTTTTGAGGCTGGGCACAGTGGCTGACAAGTGTAATCCCAGAACTTTGGGAGGTTGAGGCAGTGGATCACTTGAGGTTAGGAGTTTGAGACCAGCCTGGCCAACATGGTGATACTCCATTTCTACTGATACAAAAATTAGCCAGGCATTGTGGCGTGTGCCTGTAATCCCACTTACCCAGGAAGCTGAGGTACAAGAATCACTTGAATCTTGGAGGCAGAGGTTGCAGTGAGCCAAGATCATGGCACTGCACTACAGCCTGGGCAACAGAGTGAGACTCAGTCTCAAAAAAAAAAAAAAGTTTTATTGATATTGCACAGTGCCCCTGGCTACCTGAAATCTCAAGAATTCAATACCAAAGGTGTCGAAGTGGTCTACTTGCCCCCAGACACAGTGTCTTTATCTTGATCTAGGGCCTCTAGATCAAAGGGTCACACGTACCTTTTAAAGCTCACTACATACGGTACTCTATGGAAAGGATTGCCAAGTCTGTGAAAGAACCCTGATGGAACATCAAGAAAGCTTGGAAGGATTACACCATTGAAGGTGCCATCAATGTTATAGAATTAACCATGAAAGCCAGCAAGATTGAAACAATAAATTCTGCTGGGGAAAACTATCCATATGTTTTGCATGACTTACAGGATTTATGATAGATAATACCATTGAGAAAGTTGTGAAAGAGGGCTGAGCATGGTGGCTCATGCCTGTAATCCCAGCACTTTGGGAGACCCAGGCCGGTGGATCACCTTAGGTCAGGAGTTCGAGACCAGCCTGGCCAACATGGTGAAACCCTCCCTACTGAAAATACAAAAATTATCCGGGCGTGGTGGCGGACGCCTGTAATCTCAGCTACTTGGGAGGCTGAGTCACAAGAATCACTTGAGCCTGGGAGGCAAAGTAAGCTGAGATTGTGCCACTGCATTCCAGCCTGGGTGACAGAGACTTTGTCTAAAAAAAAAAAAAAAAAAAAAAAATGAAAGAGGTGTAGATGTGGCAAAAAAGATGAGAGGTGAAGGGTTTCAAGATAGTGATCTTGGAGAAATTCAAGAACTAATAGATACAACACCAGCGAAATTAAGAGAAGACAGCTTGACGGAGCTCAGTGCTTCCAAACCAATGCTAGATGATGAGGAAGAAGATGTAGAAGAAACAGTGCCAGAAGATTGATGTTAGGTAGTCTCCCAGAAAGTTTCCAGTTATTTAAGACTGCTTTTGACTTCTTTTAGACATAGATCTTTCTATAATACTGGCGCTGAAATAAAAGCAAATGGTGGAAGAAAGATTGGTACTATATAGAAATGTTTTTAGAGAAATTTGCAGAAATATCAGACACAAAGTACAGTATATTTTCATAAAGTTATACTGAGCATGCCTACCTCTTCTGCCTTCCCTTCCATCTCTCGCTACCCCTGAGAGAGAAGACCAACTCCTCCTCCTCTTCCTCTTCCTCAGCCTCCTCACTGTGAAGACAAGAATGAAGGCTTTTTTTTTTTTTTTTTTTTTTTGAGACAGAGTTTCACTCTTGTTGCCCAGGCTGGAGTGTAATGGTGCGATCTTGGCTCACCACAACCTCCGCCTCCTGGGTTTAAGCAATTTTCCTGGCTTAGCCTCCTGAATAGCTGGGATTACAGGCATGCGCCACCATGACTGGCTAATTTTGTATTTTTAGTAGAGATGAGGTTTCTCCATGTTGGTCAGGCTGGTCTCGAACTCTTGACCTCAGGTGATCCACCCACCTTGGCCTCCCAAAGTGTTGGGATCACAGGCGTGAGCCATAGCTCCCGGTCATGAAGACTTTTTTGAAGACCTGCTTCCATTTAATGGATTTGCTTATGTATATTTTAAGAATACAGTATATAAAACATATAACATACAAAATACGTGTTAATTGACTGTTTATGTTAACAGTAAGCCTTCTGGCCAGTGGTAAGCTATTAGCAGTTAAGTTTTTGGGTGAGTCAAAACTTATACATGCCTATATTCTGTCCTAGCACTTTGGAAGGCCAAGGTGGACGGATCACTTGACGCCAGGCACTTGAGACCAGCCTGGGCAACATGGCAAAACCCTATATATAGTAAAAATGCAAAAATTAGCCAGGTGTGGTGGAGGCTGCAGTGAGCTGAGATCATGCCACTGCACTCTGGCCTGGGTGACAGAGTGAGACTCTGTCTCAAAAAAAAAAAAAAAGACCCTGATGAACCTGGAAACCATCATTCTCAGCAAACTGACACAAGAGCAGAAAATCAAACACTGCATGTTCTCACTCATAGGCGGGTGGTGAACAATGAGAACACATGGACACAGGGAGGGGAGCATCACACACTGGGGTCTGTTGGGGGGAAATAAGGGAGGGAAGGCGGGGGGTGGGGAGTTGGGGAGAGATAGCAGGGGGAGAAATGCCAGATATAGGTGAAGGGGAGGAAGGCAGCACATCACACTGCCACAGGTGTACCTGTGCAACAATCTTGCATTTTCTTCACATGTACCCCAAAACCTAAAATGCAATTTAAAAAAAGACCCTAAAACCTTATACTTTCTTTTTTTTTTTTTTTTTTGGGACAGAGTCCTGCTCTGTCACCCAGGCTGGAGTGGAGTGCAGTGATATAATCTCAGTTTACTGCATCCTTGACCTCCCGAGCTCAAGTGATCTTCCCACTTCAGCCTCCCTAGCAACTGGGACTACAGGCGTTTGTCACCATACCCAGCTAATTTTTGTATTATTTGTAGAGATGGGGTTTCTCCATGTTGCCCAGGCTAGTCTCAAACTCCTGGGCTCAAGCAGTATGCCCACCTTGGCCTCCCAAAGTGCTGGGATTATAGGTGCAAGCCACCATGCTCGGCCTATACATGGATTTTGATTGCATTGGGGGATGTGGGGGACTCGGCATCCCTTCACATTGTTCAAGGGTCAACTGTACTTTTCCACGTCCAATCTTTATGTCCTTTATTTTTCGTTCCTAATTGTACTATCTAGGGCCTGTAGTATGATGTTGAGTATGTTTTAAGTTTGGGCATCTTTGCCTTGTTCTGCCTCATTGGGAGGAAGCATTCAGTCTTTTACCATAAGTGTGATGTTAGCTATCGTGTTTTCATAGACATCCTTTGTTCTTGGTTTGCTGAGGGTTTTTTTTTTTTTTTTTTTTTTTTTTTTTTTTTTTTTTTTTATAAAAAGACGGGGTTTCACCATGTTGGTCAGTCTGGTCTTGAACTTCCGACCTCAGGTGATCCGCCCACCTTGGCCTCCAAAGTGCTTGGATTACAGGTGTGAGCCACCACGCCTGGCCTTGTGTGCTGAGTTTTTTAAAAAATAAAATAGCTGTTGCATTTTAGCAAATGCTTTTTTTAAACATCTGTTGAAATGATCATATATTTTTTCTCCTTTATTCTGTTAATGTTGGCAAATTGTAATTGTTTTTTCCAATGTTAGACCATCTTACATTTCTTGGATAAACCCTGTATTTTAGTGATTGATTATCCTTTCTATATTGTGAAATTCAATTTGCTAGTCTTTGTATTTTTATATCTACATTCATGAGGAGTTTTGATTTATAGTTTTCTTATAATACCTTAGTCTGGTTTTGGTTGCCCCAGAATGAGTTGGTACTTCTTTCCTTCTCTTCTGTTTTTTTAGAAAAGTGTGTAAGGCCAGACACAATGGCTCATGCCTATAATCTCAGCACTTCGGGAAGCTGAGACCCGTGGATTGCTTGAGCTCAGGAGTTTGAGACCAGCCTGGGCAACATGGCGAAACCCTGTCTCTACAAAAAATACAAAAAATTAGCTGGGCATTATGTCACATGCCTGTAGTCCCAGCTGCTTGGGAGGCTGAGGTGGGAGGATCACGTGAGCCTAGAAGGTCAAGACTGCAGTGAGCTATGATGGTACCACTGTACTCCAGCCTGAATGAAAGAATGAGATTCTGTCTCAAAAAAAAAGTTTGTGTAGAATTGATGTTATTATTTCTAGAACCAGGTCCTCACTCTGTCACCTAGGCTGGAGTATAGTGGTGCCATCATAGCTCACTACAGCCCTGAATTCTTTGCCAAATCCTTCTTCCACTTCAGTTTCCAGAGTATCTGGGACTATAAGTGTGTGCCACCAAGTCTAGCTAATTATTATTGTTGTTATTTTTATAGAGACAGGATCTTGCTATGTTGCCCAGTCTGGTTTTGAACTCCTGGCCTCAGGTGATCCTCCTACCTTGGCCTCTCTTAAATGTTTGATATTGTTTAAATGGTGTGGCTACAAGCTATGTTGAAATGGGCCAAGGAATGACAGATAGATAAGGAACTAGCCAGGATGGACAACTTTGAGAGTTCTGGCTATGAAGAGAAGAGATGGTAGTTACTAGAGAGACATAAATATCGAATTAAGCATTAAAGAAGTACAGTTGTTTTCTTGATTGACATTGTCTTTTAAATTTGCTTCTTCGTTACTTAATTCTAATGCAGATACATCAAGAAATCTGGAATTTCATGAAATACACAGCACTGGGAATGAACCACCTTTGCTGATTATGATTGGCTACAGTGATGGAATGCAGGTCTGGAGCATCCCTGTAAGTACGCATATGGTTGAATACCTAAAACATTATACTTTCCAGCATGTTAGCTTATGTGAAATCTGTAGATACTTTTTTTTTGAGAGAGTCTCACTCTTTCACTCAGGCTGGAGTGCAGTGGTACGATCTCAGCTCACTGCAACCTCCGCCTCCCATGTTTAAACGTTTCTTCTGCCTCAACCTCTCGAGTATCTGGGATTACAGGCGTACATCACCATGCCCAGGTAATTTTTGTTTTTGTATATATATTGTTTTGAGACGGAGTTTTGCTCTTGTTGCCCAGGCTGGAGTGCAATGGCTTGACCTCGGCGCACTGCAACCTCTGCCTCCCAGCTTCAGGTGATTGTCTTGCCTCAGCCTCCCATGTAGCTGGGATTACAGGCATGTGCCACCATGCCTGGCTAATTTTGCTTTTTTTTTTTGAGGTGGAGTCTAGCCCTGTTGCCCAGGCTGGAGTGCAGTGGCATGATCTTAGCTCACTGCAACCTCTGCCTCCTAGGTTCAAGTGATTCTCCTGCCTCAGTCTCCCAAGTAGCTGGAACTACAGGCGTCTGCTACCATGCCTGGCTAATCTTTTGTATCTTTAGTAGTGACAGAGTTTCACCATGTTATCCAGGCTGGTCTCAAATTCCTGACCTCGTGATCCATGCACCTTGGCCTCCCAAAGTGCTCGGATTACAGGCATGAGCCACTGTGCCTGGCCCTAATTTTGTATTTTTAGTAGAGATGGGGTTTCTCTATGCTGGTCAGGCTTGTCTTGAACTCCTGACCTCAGGTGATCTGCCTGCCTCGCCTCCCAAAGTGCTGGGATTACAGGCATGAGGCACTGTGCCCAGCCCAATTTTTAACACTTTTAAATGGAGACAGGGTCTTACTGTGTTGCCTAGGCTGGTCTCGAAATCCTGGGCTCAAGTGATCCTCCCACTTGGCCTCCTAAAGTGTGGGCGTTATAGGCATGAACCAATTGCTTGGCCAATTCTATTCTTTTTTTTTTTTTCTTGCCAGTTGCGGTGGCTCATGCCTGTAATCCCAGCACTTTGGGAGGTCGAGGTGGGTGGATCACAAGGTCAGGAGATCGAGACCGTCCTGGCCAACATGGTGAAAGCCCATCTCTATTAAAAAAAAAAATTCTATTCTTAAAATTATCATATAATTAAGTATCTAAGATGTGGAATTGTTTTTTAACTTGGCTTTACTTTTTAGAGGTAGAAGAATCATGCTGTTATGTCATAAAATTAGAAGTATTCTTTTTCTTTTGTCTTTTGGGAAGTGTAGCTGACGTTTTTCAGGGTCCCGCAATTTTGTTTGTAGTTTCGGTATTGTTCCAAAGGCATGGAAAAAGTACTTAAAAATTGGCAGTGTTTTTTTTCTTACTGGGAGAAATATCTGGGTTGTGATAAAATGAAAGGATTTTTTAAGTATAACTTTTTCTTACTAATAGATACTACATTTTGCTTCATTATGCTGTTTGTTGACAGAATTGAAGACAAAGAGGGCGCTATACCTTTAACGAGAGGGTTGAGCCTGTATGGCTAGGGGTGTGGACTGGATTGGACACATTCCTTTGGTGGTACTCAGGTTGCTTTAACTGCCCACTTGTTTTGGTTATAATTAGAGGTATTACTTTTAATAGTTTTGAAGTTAACTTCTGTTTATCTTTGAGTAATTAAGGTTTATTCCTCCTTAGGCCTAGATTGTATTTTAAGAGGCTTGAATAATTTTTTTTTTATGGAATTTTTCTTTGACCAATCGTATATTGTTGTAATATTCCTATTTCATGAATTAGGGCCTGGTGCAGAGGCTCATGCGTGTAATCCCAGCACTTTGGGAGGCCAAGGCAGGTGGATCATTTGAAGTCAGGAGCTCGAGACTAGCCTGACCAATTCTGTCTCTACTAAAAATACAGAAAAAATTAGCTGGGTGTGGTGGTGCATGTCTGTAGTCCCAGCTACTCGGGAGGCTGAGGCAGGAGAATCACTTGAACCTGGGAGGGGAAAGTTACAGTGAGCCAAGATCACGCCACTACACTCCAGCCTGGGCGACAGAGCATGACTCTGTCACAAAAAACAAATATAGTGAGACCTTGTCTCTACAAAAAATTTTAAAAAATTAGCCAGGCATAGTGGCACGTGCCTGTGGTTCCAGCTACTTGAGAGGATGAGGCAGGAGGATTGCCTGAGCCTGGGAGGTTGAGGCTGCAGTGAGCCATGATTATGCCACTGTACTCCAGCCTGGGTGACCTTGTCTCAGTCGATCAATCAATCAATGAGACAATGACAGTCTGGAAAAATAAGCTGCTTACGTTCCATTGATTGAGCTCTCAATATGGTCAAAGAGGTTTATATACATATTATCTCATCTAATGTAGAAGTTATCTTGTTTTACAGGTGGTGAGGTCACACTGCTTTTAAGACGTGGAACTAGAATTTAAACTAGTTCTGTCTGGATTCCAATACAAAGCCCATAATCTAAGAGCTGTACTTCATCATTTTCAAATGTGACAGCTAAAGTTATGACATGCGAGTAGTTTTGTAGTTTAGGTTTAGTTTTTGTAGAGGTGAAGGGAATTTTCCCCTCTCCCTCTGAAATAAATTGGCAATAGATTAACTGGAGAAAAAGCATACATGTGCACGAGAGCCACACAAAATATGAGACTTACAGAAGGGCCTGATGGCTGAAGCTTCCATAGTGCTTTCTTCATGAGGAGAGAGATGGAGAAATGTAGTCAATTTTGAGAGTTAGTAAATGATTCTCAGGAAAGTTGAATGGGCCCAAAGAGCAGAAAATTGTTTATAAGTGGTTCTCTTGAGAAATGGGATCTGAGAAGGGATGATAGCCTGTGACAAAGTCTGTCTAGATGTCGTGTCATTTCTCTGCTTTCCTTCCTGCAAGTTGATATTTGGAAATAAAAAAAAAGGATGGTTGTGTCTGTACTGAACAGGTATAGAATTTTCTTTTTTGTCATTATTTACTGAACGATGCAGTATGATTACTTACATAGCATTTACATTGCACTAGGTATTATAAGTAAGAGTAAGAGATAAAGTATATGAGATAATGTGTATAGCTTGTATGCAAATACTATGCCATTTTATGTAAAGGACTTGAGCATCATGGATTTTGGTATCTATGGGTGGTTTGTGGAACCAGTCCCCCACAGATGCTGAGGGACAATTGTATTTGCTTTTTTTGTTTGTTTTGTTTTGAGACTGAGACTCACTCTGTTGTCCAGGCTGGAGTGCAGTGGTGCCATCTCGGCTCACTGCAACCTCTGCCTCCTGGGTTCAAGTGATTTTCATGCCTCAGCCTCCCGAGTAGCTGGAACGACAAGTGTCAGCCATCATGCCGGGCTAATTTTTATATATTTTTAAGTAGAAATGGGGTTTCACCATGTTGGCCAGGCTGGTTTCAAACTCCTGACCTCAGATGATCTACCCACCTTGGCCTCCCAGAGTGCTGGGATTATAGGTGTGAGCTACTGTGCCCGGCCTGCATTTTAAAAATAAAGATGAGGTAGGTCTCACTATATTGACCAGGTTGGTCTTGATGCCTGGCCTCAGGCAGTCCTCCTGCTGTGGCCTCCCAAAGCACTGGTATTACAGATGTGAGCCATCATACCTGGCTGTGTATTTGCTTTTGAGTAAATGTAGGTGGGCAGAAAATCAACCCTTGTCCAAACCTTAGCGTAGTTTTTGCTTCTAGTATGTGCTCAGCACTTCCTCTAGTTGAGTTTAATATAAGTATCCCACTGTGGCTCATGCCTGTAATCCCAGCACTTTGGGAGGCCGAGGAATCCATTTTAGCATTACACATTTTTTGTAGTCATGAGAATAAAATATACAATTTTCAAGCAGAAGATTTGAATTGCAGGATGAGGATTTGGACTTATTCTTTCAGCTATAATAATTTGGACTCATTGAACATGTTTTGGTAACATATATTCCAAATGCTGTCTGTAATATTGATCTTGTGGTGGCATTAGGATGAATAGCAGGAGAAAAGAAAGGTTATAAGGCTAGTTAGGAGTGAATTTCAACACTGTCTAAATGTTAGATGTTGAGAGCCTGAACTAACTTTGTTGTTGTGACAGGATTACCAAAAACCATGGTAAGTGGTTAGACATTTAAAAGAGAAGAAAGTCAAAGATGTTTCCAGAGTCTTGACCTGGGGGCTGGTGCTGCTTGGTATGAAAGATGGCATCATTTTAGCAGAAATAGAATTTGATTATTAAACTTATACTATGTTAAAAATAATATAAAGCAGAAATTATATAGTATATTGTCTTATAAGTAATAAAGGGTGCTCATTTAAACGTTCAGTGGTAAAAGTCTCTTGATACTTCTCCCCATACTTTTTGTTATCTGTTTAAATGGCTACTTAGTTTTCTCTTCTTCTTAATATTTTATTTATTTTGTCATTTTGGTTAAAAACAGTTTTTTTATTTCTCCGCGAGGGTGAGGTGGAGAAATCACTTGAGCCCAGGAGGTTGAGGTCGTGATTGCACCACCATGCCCAGCTGATTTTATTTTTTTGGGTAGAGATGGGGTTTTGCCATGTAGCCCAGGCTGGTCTCGAACTCTTGAGCTCAAACGATCCTCTTGCCTTCCCCTTCCACAGTGCTGGGATTACAGGTGTGAGCCACTATGGCTAGCGACTTATCTTCTTTTGAAATGCTTATTTTTTTCTAAAAAAATGGAAAATATATTTTTTACAGCACCTAGAATATGGCAGTTGTATTGTGTGAAACAGTATACAGTTGGCCCTTGGTATCCATGGATTCAGTCAATATGGATAGAAAATATTTGGGAAAAAAGTAAAAAATAATTCAACAATAAAAAATAACACAAATAAAAATGACAGTATAGGCTGAATGCAGTGGATCATGCCTGTAACCCCAGCCCTTTGGAAGGCCAAGGTGGGCAGATCATGAGGTCAGGATTTCAAGACCAGCCTGGCCAATATCGTGAAACTCCATCTCTACTAAAAATACAAAAAAT